ATTGAAGTTGTCAAGGATTTCATTTTACTTGGATCCACAATCAATGCCCATGGAAGCAGCAGTCAAGAAATCAAAAGATGCATTGCATTGGGCAAATCTGCTGCAAAAGACCTCTTTAAAGTGTTGGAAAGCAAAGATGTCATTTTAAGGACTAAGGTGTGCCTAACCCAAGCCATGATGTTTTCAATCTCCTCATATGCATAAGGACTAAGGTGTGCCTAACCCAAGCCATGGTGTTTTCAATCTCCTCATATGCATGCGAAAGCTGGACAATGAATAAAGAAGACTGAAGAATTTATGCCTTTGAATTGTTTGTGAAAAATATCGAATATATCATTGACTGCCAGAAGAACGAACACATCTGCCTTGGAAGAAGTACAGCCTGAACGCTCCTTAGAAGGGAGGATGGCAGCACTTCCTCTCAAGTACTTTGGACCTGTTATCAGGAGGGACCAGTCCCTGGAGAAGAACATCATGCTTAGTAAAGGAGAGGGTCAGAGAAAAAGAGTAACACCCTCAACGAGATGGATTCACATAGTGACTGTAATAATGAGCTCAAACATAGCAATGATTGTGAGGTTGGCATAGGACCAGGCAGAGTTTCGTTCTGTTGTACATAGGCGTAGGGTTGTTATGAGTCAGAACTGACTCAATGCCACCTAACAACCACCACCAAGATTATAATTGGAAGCCATATCTCTTTCCAGGAGGCAACACAGAGATTATCATCACCAAAGACTTAAAAGAGGTATGATTCCCAAACATTTGTTTACTTAATTGGCATGGCCCCTGCAGAAACTAGATGCAACATGGTAGATGAGTGGGTCATCACAAACTTAACTAAGTGGTAGCCCCAACTAAAGGTACTATGCTATAATCATGTTATCTTTACTGGAAGAGATCAACACAGACTCTTGGCACTTTGTAAGCAGGATCTGTGTTTTTCTACAACGACAACAAAAACCCTTAAAGTTTAATTGAGGCTTCTAGACTTAGGTACTGAACTGCCACCAAGAACAGTGCCTTGCACATATGATATGCAACATATGCATTCAATGACTGCTGGTTGAAAAAATGACTGTGTAAATGAATGGATAGATATTTAAATAATAGTAAAAGACAGTAGGTGGTTAAAAAGAATGATACAAAAAGCAGTTCCACAGCAAAGTCCAAGAATGGAAGAGGAAAACGGACACTCTCTGACCTCAGGTCTAGCTACTACCAACATGAGTGGCCTAGATGCGGGTGAGGCCACCCTCTTCCCCAAACCTGCAGCCTCCGGGAGACCCACGCCAGAGTGCCCGAGGCTCTGAGAGGGAGGCGACACAGGTGGTGCATTCACGGGTGGGACAGCTTAGAAACCGTTGTGCTCCCGTTGCCCCAGCATCCAGAGGAGGGAAGTGCACCCTGGGACCCTGTGGACTGTGGCACACTCCCCACGTCCGAGTTGATGCGGTTGTGATCATGTTACCACCAAAGCAGGGCAGGAAGAAGCTTCCCACAGAGGTCCTGCCTCGGTGGTAACTGACAGCAGCCAAAAATGGCTTTTTGAGTGGAGAGCTAAGTAGCCCTGCGGGGGAGAAGGCTCTAGAAGCCTGTGGTGCAGGGAGGTCGGGGTCTCAGGACTGCTGGCAAGGGCGCCGAAGTGACAACTGAAAAGTGCGCCATTTTTTCGGTAGTAGCAGATGAGGAGGAGAGGGCTGAGGTGATAGAGGAGAAGGAGGTAGAGAAGAAAGGAGTGAAGGAGAAGGCGGTGGTGGAGGAAGAGATAGAAGTGGAGGAGAAGCCAGTAGTTGAAGAAATGGAAGTAGAAGAAAATAAGGTGATAGAAGTGGTGAAGGAGGATGCAGGGCCCAGGCCCCTGAATGTGGCTCTCCGCATGAAACCCCCGGAAGCTATCCAGCAGGAACTGGACACTGTGAAAGCTCAGGCCCACAGGGCCTTCCTCCAACTGGAGCACAGCTTTGGGCGGATGCGTCAACACTGCCTGGGGCGGAGGAACTTCATCATTCAGAATATCCCAGGCTTCTGGGCCACAGCCTTTCGGAACCACCCACATCTCTCTGCTACGATTAGGGGCCAAGATGCGGAGATGTTAAGGTACATGACTAATTTGGAAGTGAAAGAGCTCAGATACCCTAGGGCAGGCTGCAAGTTCAAGTTCTTTTGGAGAAACCCCTACTTCAGAAACAGGCTAATTGTCAAAGAATATGAGGTCAATTCCTCTGGTCAAGTAGTGTCTCTTTCCACTCCGATTATATGGCACCGAGACTGTGAACACCAGTCCTTCATTCGCAGGCATCTAGACGTCGTCAGCAGCTTCTTCACCTGGTTTTCAGGCCACAGCCTTCCAGAGTCTGACAGAATTGCTAAGATTATCAAAGAAGACCTGTGGCCGAATCCATTACAGTACTACCTGTCGCATGAAGAGGCCCATAGAGTCAGAAGTTGCCCAGTAAGGGAGCCAGTGGAGATCCCCAGGCCCTTTCGGTTCCATTCTGGTTTATCCCTGCCCTTGGAAATATCCTGCACAAAGTCGCCTACCACTTCCTGCCAGATCTGTGCTTGTGCAACAGCAATGGGTATGCCTTCTACTGTTTTTGTGCTGATCTTTCTGTACCCTCCCTCCTCTGGACATTCTGTTCTCTCAGCCTCAAGATTGAGACCTTCATGGCCATGCTTCTCCACTTCTACATGACCATTATGCTGTTCTGCATTAACATCATATGCTGCATGGCCATGGCTCACACACTTCTAAGCCAAGCAAAGGATGCTATAGATTGCACTGCTTTGTGTGCACTGCGTGGACTCTGTGTGTTCCCAGGGCCTCTAATGTGGCTGCCACCACCTGAATTTCTAAGTTGGCTAGGAGCCCATTTTACCCACCCTGCTCTGCGTCCTGCAGTACAAGTGCATGGCCTGTGAACATAGCTGGACATTAATGATGTCAAGGGAGAACAGCAGTGAGCCACTTGGTCTATGTGATTATGCAACTCCATTGCTGTTCCCTGTCTTCTGGTTGCCTTCTACTGCCCACGCCCGCCCCTCTTAACTGCTGCCTTCTGGATGAACATCTCCCAGACTGTTGCCAGCCTCACTGTCTGGTTTCTGGCAAACAATGACCTCTAGAACTGGTGGTGGACCCAGGTTTCCTGCTACAATACAAAACAATCCCTCCACTCCTTCTCCAAAACATCCCTTGATTCCTCACCCTTCCAGCAGGATCACCCAAGAATCCTACTGACTGTCAGGCAAGTGGTTGAGGTGACAAGTGAAAGACCCTGTCTCATGGCAAGGATAAGGATGCAGGCTTTCTCAACCTTAACCACCGAATTCACACAAAACCTAGTTACCTTTGTTTGCCTTCATGCCTCATCCTGAACATGATTAAGTGTCAAAATGGCAGTAGTTTCTCTTTCTCTCTCTCTCCTCTCCTTTTTTTCTCTTAAAAACAGATAGCACAGAAACATCTGCAAAAGTAGGTCTTTTAGTTTGATATTGCTCTCTATCATTTCCAGAAACAGAGAGGTTGTCCTGGAAAACAGCCTGCCAGAGCTCTTATTGCCCTGGCTTCTCTCATCCTACCTCCACCCTCACCCCCTTTAGCAAGGCCTAGAGGGTTTAAAACGAAACAGATCTAGGTGGAATAAAAGGTGATTTCTACTTCAGATTGGATGGAAGAACAAAACAGTTTGTGATGGGTGCCCTAAGCAGGGAAAACAGAACAAAAGACTAGAGTCAGAAATGAGCCAGGTGAAAACTGGGCTTAGAATTAAGACTGGACTAGCTGAGAGCCAGCGGGGAAGGGGTACTTACTCTGTCAGTGGTGAGATGGGAAATACTTTTCTCAGGATTGGGATGGGAGAACTGAAGAAGGTTAGAGTTAAATATATTGCCTAGAGAAGAGTTCTTTAAAGAAGCACAAACAATACAACTTTAGATGTTTTCCCCCTTGTGTTCATGTGACCTTGTTTATGTGGAAGATTAATACTGTGCCCTTTATTTCACTAGCATTTAGTAAAATCCTTTACTTTCTCTTTCTGATTACTGGAAAAATTGGGCTGTATAGCCTTGTTTTTGCTTTCAGTTGGGAACATTTGGAAAAATATCAATCTTACTTTCCTGCACAACATAGAGACTTACGTGAATATTCCAGAGTTTTCAACTTGTTCTTGTTGCTATTAAAACTGTATGCCTAGAAATATAATTTGATCTTGCCAATAACTTGTTGTCCTCTTAGAAAAATAACTTACAATAATTTGTGGCTCTGATTATTGTCTTGCTCAATAATTTGCTGTAGTAACAATTTAGTAACTGATGTCTTTTTTCCTAAATAGCATAAATATTTGTGAGATTGTTCTGTCTGGTTGGAAGCGTACCAGGGACATATTTGTCTTCCTTATATGCATGATGTTAAAATAAAAGCATGTCATTCTGCTAAATTTCTTATTTTTTACCCTGCCCATAAACATGCTTGAATGACATTGTTCAAGTTAATGAGAGATTATGGAATCAGTAAAGTTCTCAAAAGGACACAATAGGCATTGTGTCAAAGGTAAGAAAATAGGGCACAATACTGTACCTTCCAAGGTAGGGAGGATTGTTGTTTTGCTTTAAAATGTTAACAATTACAACTGCTTACTCACAGACATGACTTTTTTTCCATACAACTCATACAGCGCCATCACCCCTTCACTTCCTCAAATCCTCCATGTCTATATCAGGTCATTCCCTTTTATTCATTCATTCATTTAAGAAGCAAACATTCAGAGAGTACCTACCATCAGTGATAGTACGCCATCTGTAAAACCTGGTCATTCTGCTCCTCAAACCTGCTCACCACCCTCTTCTAGCTGTGTCAAATCCTTCAAGGTCTGGCCCAGATAACTCCTCAGCCTTATAGCCTTTTCTGTTCCCCATAGGTTAGAGGAAATGTTTCCTCATGCCCTTAGTGTACAGACAGTCCCTGGATTACTAATGAATTCCATTCCTAAGTCTGTCTTTAAGTCAAATTTGGAAAAGTTGGAACAGTTAGGTACAGTTCATATTTAATGTCTAACTGATAAATGTTTGTTTCAGTATATAGTATATAATGTACATTTCTATGCATTAAAAGACATTAAAGAGAAACACTTCCAGATATACTAAAACATCTTGAACATAATAATACAGTAATAATAATAATAATGTTTTGATGTGTGTCACAAAGTAGCATCTGTTTGTTATTACAAACCGTTGTATGTACCTCGAATTTTTAATATAATGGGCTTTACAGGAGTTGATTTGTAACTACGGGTTGTACGTAGGTCAGATGTTCATAACTCGGGGGCTGCCTGTACTTTGTAGGGACTTCTAGAAAATAACCCATACTTATTCATTACAGTGAATTCCACAGATATTTTATTAAGGCATTCTGTTAGGCTCTGGGAAGATTAAAGAAGAAAAAGATAAAGTCCATTCTCTTCACTGTTAAAGAATTGGGGAAAGATTGATATGTAAACAAATAATTGATTCAGAGTAATAAGTGGAAATAACATGCAAAGATACGTTTTCACTGGAAGCTTTGTGAGAGCAGAGATGGGATGTCTTTTCTATCCCTCACTACATCTAGCATAATGGTTTGCACATATTTGTCAGCAGATAAGTATTTAATGACAATGGACAACTGGCAAATGGGGAAGAAGAACAAAATGGTTAGGTGCTCAGAGAGACTTCTGATGAGGTGATGGGAAGAAGGAACCAGTCTTCAAGACATTTGTGAAAACGATGTCAAAGTTTTGCAAAGCCATTCCTAAATCACAGCAAAATTTCTTATTTAAATAATCTAAAAAGGTCCAAACACTGTAACATTTACTCTTTCACTTGCCATTTTAACACAGCATTATTTAATTTTGGATCAACTTTTATGTACTTTTGGAGCCCTGGTGGCACAGTGGTTAAGAATTCAGCTGCTAACCAAAAGGTCAGCAGTTCGAATCCACCAGGCACTCCTTGGAAACCCTATGAGGCAGTTCTACTCTGTCCTATAGGGTCCCTATGAGTCTAAATCAACTCAACAGTAATTTTTTTTTTTTTTTAATGTACGTTGTACATTTTAAGGTGAGTATTACCCTGGAGGTAGAAGTGGGTTAGACTCTAGACCTGTGCTGTCCTGTACAGTAGCCGCTAGCCACTGCCGGCTGTGGAGCACTTGAAATGCAGCTAGTCCAAACTGAGATGTGCTTTAGGGTTGCTATGAGTCGGAATCGACTGGACGGCAACTTTTTTTTTTTTTTTTTTTAGTGTAAAACACACCCTGGATTTCAAAGACTTAACCAAAAAACAAACAAACCATTGCTGCTGAGTCAATTCTGACTCATAGGACCCTATAGGACAGAGTAGAACTCCTTGTAGGGTTTCCAAAACTGTAAACCTTTACAGAAGCAGACTGTCACATCTTTCTCCCGTGGAGCAGCTGGTGGGTTCGAAGTGCCTACCTTTCAGTTAGCAACCGAGTGCTTTAACCACTGTGCTACCAGGGTTCCCTTATTTCAAAGACCTAGTACAGAAAAAAATGAATACAAAATATCTCAATTTTTTAATTTGATTACAAATTGAAATAATATTTCTGATATATTAGGTTAAGTAAAATATATATTTAAGATTTAAAAAGAAGAGTGCAAGTAGTCAGTAGGGAGGAATGGGCAGGAAAGCTTCATGGGAAATGCACGATCTGAACGGAGCCTTGAAGGATGAGTAGGATTTGACTGGAGAGAGAGAGAAGGGAAATAGCTTACAAGTGAGGACCCAGCCTGCACAGACCTGAATTCTTTGTGATGACTGTCTTCCTAGCTGCAATTGACTTTCATCATAGCACTTAAAAGATCAGGAACACTGGCATCAGAAGAGTTAAATTTAAGAACGCTTTTCACCATTAAATGATCTTAGACAAATCACTCAATAAATCTGGAACTCTAATTTCTCATCTGAAGACAGGTATCAGAAAAGTTTTACCTCATACGGCTATGGTGACACCCAAATTTGATAATATGTTAAAGAACTTTATTGTAAAACCAAAAAACGAAACCCATTGCCATAGAGTTGATTCTGACTCATAGCAACCCTATAGGACAAGGTAGAACTGCCCCATAGGGTTTCCAAGGAGAAGCTAGTGGATTTGAACTGCCAGCCTTTTGGTTAGCAGCTGAGCTCTTAACCACTGTGCCACCAGGGCTCCTTTGTTGTAGAGCACCTTAAGATATGTCATCCTTACCTCTATAGTCTTTCGGTATTGGTATATCTTCCCAATTTAACAATTTATTTCAACTTGTTAAATTCAACTGAAAGGAATTGGCTGAATGGGAAATAGAATTGGAAGGACAGAGGAATACAGAATTATTTGGAATAATTGGATACATTACGGCCTGGTGGCAGGGGATCAGCTAGAGGCCATCTGGCAGTCCCTGCCGGCTCCATGATTCAAAGGTAACCAGGTACATAGCACATCCCTTGAAACTACTAATTCCATCTCAGACTGTGGTTAACAACTGGGCCCCATTCTCCAACCCTCAGAGCGGCTTCTTGGGATGCCTATAGAAATCTA